ACCGAATTAGTACAAAACTCTTCCCCAATCAGCAGCCAGAATGATGAAAAAAATCATACAAAGGAATATTATCAGGCTGATATCACAGAATCAGAGAATATGCAGAGCTGGAAGGGACCCATAAGGATCAAGTCCAGCTCCTGGCCCTGCACAGGACAGCCCTGAGAATCACACCCTGTGCCTGAGAGCATCGTCCAAAAGCTCCTTGAGGTCTGTCAGGCTTGGGGCTGTGACCACTGCCCTGGGGAGCAGGGATTTGTTCCCTGTAGAAATGTGTTGTTTGTTCAAAGCACTAAGTCGTTTCGGCCGTGAAACCGAAGGAACAGTGAGAGAAGAGCATGTTGGACCGTGCAGTCTCAGGCATTACCTTCAGGTAACGCTGCTGAAAGACAGTAGTGCCACCTGGTGACATTGCTTTAGTTAGAACTCCCAGAAAACTGCACGAGGATACCATTTGCTTCACTAAAACAATGATCTACTAAGGAGGATTTTGTTACTATTGCCGTGGATGGGACTGAGGGACTACAAAGAGCCTCACACTGGTTTGGCTACAGATCACCAAGGTCAGTTGTCCCCAGATCCCCACAGTGCAGAGCAGGATGGTGAGGCACTTCTCTCACATCCAGGTGCTACTGCCATTAGATTCTTGTGACCAGGGGCTGTAAGGGGCATGAGGCAGGGCGCTTTGAAGTGGCTATAAAGTTTATTTTAGCACTGTCTGGCAGTTCCAATCGTGAACAATTCCCTTTCTCCTCTCCCCATTAGGCTGTGGTGTGCATTCAAACCCAGCTGTGCAGGCAGTGTGCTCACAGCAGCAGGCAGGAAAGGGAGGTAGGCTGGCAGAGGACAGGGTGGAGAGCAAGCAGATTCCTGCATCTACAAAGCCTATATTTTCTGGAAGAGATAGTGGGTGAGAGTGACAAAAAAACCCAGTTCTTGGGTTCCTTTTCCTACTCTCAGTTTAGTAAGAACAGGGATGTAAGCAATCAGCTTGGGCTTGGTCACACAGCATGTCAACAAGTCTCATGGATACAGCCTGAATGACAGGGAACAGTCTGCGAGACAAGATGGACCTCTGGGCATAGGGAGTACCTTATGTTGAAGGGAAACCTCTTCCCTGCTTGTTTGGAGAGGGTTCATGCTACTGCTTCAACATTTACTCTTTCCACATTAACTTTCAAAACTCTTTCCATCAGCTTCCATCCCTCTCCCCTAAATGCAGGCATTGGCCTCCCCCAACCTAATCCAGTCTTAACTCTGAAAACCTGTTCCACACCATGCTGCCAATGACAAAACAATGGGAGAGACCTCACCATGCACCAACCACCATCCACTGCCTCTGGGGCCTCACGGACCTGAAGCCTGGCTCCCACTCTAGGCTTTAGGTGTGAAGATAAACAGGACCACACAGAAGTTAAAGGAGAAGTGTAACGAGACTCGTGAAGAACATGCATCCATGGG